GCCTCTCTCCACTACACTTTACTTCAAAGTCTGCAGAGAGTGGAATAGACTGCAACTTGCGAACTACCTGTACAAAACGACTCTGCTCCACTCAGAGAGATAAAGAAAATGCCAGCAGGGTTTCTTATCTGTGTCTGACAAAACAGACTTTTATTAATTCTAACTGGCTACGGATTAGGCTCTATTGATCAGTGGGAGATTGTAGCACTTGGATTGCCCTCATGTGTTTTCAATACTTGGAGAAGCCTGAGGAGGCAGCCAGACAGAATCTGCTGGCATGCTGGTGAGAAACAGACGAATGAAGAGAGATTCATAGCAATGACACAAAGATCCGAGAACTCTATAAATTTTATAGAAGTTTTGCTGCTTTGATTTATTTTTTCCTATGATCGTTAAACTTTGAAAGTTCTAGCAGCACATCTCTTTTTTTAGGGGTGAAGAAGATTGTCCAACGGATAACTAAATATCAGTCAATTCTGTTGAATCTATGCACTCTTACAAATAAAAATGCCAAAAAAGGGCTCTTTGAAACATCATAGCAGAAGCACTTTTGGTTGAGTGATTTCAGTTGAGTTCTTTAAATAACAATACATTGACAGGTTCTTTAAGAAACCAAACGTGGTTCTTCTGTGCACTTTTAAAAATAAAGATGCCAAACAAGGCTCTAGGATCGGTCCTAATCACAGTGTCATTTGTTCTGAGAGCCCTACTTGTGACAGTGTGTTTGGCAGTAGTTTGATTTCAGCATACATCCAGCCTAAGTATTATAAGCTAGGGCACAAAAATGTGGATCAACTGGTTTGCCCACTTTAGGCTACTACTAATTTATTACTAACTTATTTAATAGTTGCATACAATGGCACATAATTGTCAACTTAAATTTCAGTAACCTCTTGGAACAGGACGATTGCATTCTTCCATACATGGTACAGCTGGATGTGTGGTCTGATAGATGATGTCATGGCCTAGCTTATATTCCAGTGCAGAGGCTTGAAAATTGTTGTTGCCACCTCAAACTCAGAACACAACAAGAGACTGACAACTGTGAGTTTTGTCTCTTGTATTTTGCTGAGTTGTGCCTAAGACAGTTTTTATGTAAGAGGTTCTTGTGCTTGTTAAAGTAAAAGAAACTCTTACATAAACCTTCTGAACACACTTTCACTTTGACATGATACTCTTTCCATTTTCTAATTTTAACTGGAAAAACATTAATGTGAAGGATCATAGTTCTTGCTGAGCATGGACTGCAGTGCATAATGCTCCAGTTACAGTGGATGATTACAGTTTCACAAACAAACAGCAGAACCGCAACTGCGTAACCTAGCTGCCTGACATTGATGGCTAAATTGATACTTACTCGATTCAATGGGCAAGATATTCTTTCCTCTTGATGTAAGTCAAGCCAATGGTCTACCTCAGGAGTCATTGCGGCTGTTAAGGATAGCGGCAGGACTCTTTTAGCTTTGCTTGTGCCTGACCACAACAAACATGTCTTAGAAAAACACTACCGCATGGCCACATTGTGGGCCCAGATCCTCCATCTCTGTGCCTTCAGGGTTGGCCGAGATTCCTGCTTGTACACTTCTAAAAGAGTGTCCTCGGGCTCTCTGTAGTCCTCACGCCGCTGAGGCTTGCTGACCCAAATTTGACTGTTTGGGAAGTCTGCTACCAGAGTAAGACTAAGTTCACATGAACCCTTTTGTGAAGTGGGCGAAACTCCCTTCTTCTGCCTTAAATTATTCTTCTCTGTAGATGGTGCTATGAAGAACACTGTCATTCTACCTGTTATAGCATGAAAAGAGCACCATGTGACAAAGACAAAAACCGGAACATTTTTATGATGAAGAGATTTAAGATTTCAATTCTACTTTATTCTTACTTTGATAGAATGCAAAAAAAGCCTTTCATGATATGTAATATTTTGGAGAGTTCAGAGACAATGCCTCATTTACCTTATTTCCAAAGAAAATGGCCATTAAATACAAATTATTACTTTTTAGGAGAAAATGCAGAAAACACATATTTAAAGCATCACTATCTAAATTTTGAGGATTTTGGAGACCTCTCTGGTGGAAATGTGTAATTGCATGCAATGTGCATAAGAATATTTTGTAACTTTGTTTGCACTTCGGGCTCCCCTGAGTGGATGAATCTGTTGCTTGAGAGCACATTGAAAGACTATTCAAAGAGAACTCAAAACTTGGTGAAGGTTGATTCTTTCGAGGAGGTAAGTGAATTATCTACTATTGCGATCATATCTTTTTCAGTATAATATTGATTATGCATTTCAGACCTGAACATCAAGCTGGAGCTTCTTTTTGTGCCTGTGCATGTGCCGTTAATACATAAAGGCGTATGGTGTGGTACCAAAAAACTCCAGTGAAATCCAACCCGACGTGCTTTCAGTTTTTCAAAGAAATCTGCAGAGATATGTTCCCACACTTCCAAAGTTCAGTATTAAAAGTTGGTTGCATTTTCTACTCACAATCCAAATAATCTCAAATAATAAAACATATTCAGTGAAATTTAGATCTGGGCTCTGGGATTGTCACTCAGTTGTCCTGAGAACACCAGCAGCTTCTGTGTTCTCTCAGTAACGACTTGGCAGCTACTCATCTTTTCAGACTCATAGTGTTGTCAGTGGAAGGATGGACATAAATACCTGTAGATTTTGGTCGTTTTGACTGGAAATTAAATGACTTTGACTTTTGAACAGTACTTTAAATATGGAACAATCCCTTTTATATAGAAATACCAATTAGAAATGCTTGGAAATATTTTGCATGTATAGATGATTTACTCTGAAGAACATGGACATGCACCTTTAGGGGCAACCCTTCCTCCTTCAGGCGCAATCCTCGCTTCCTACTTCCCCATTTCAACACAAACAGCTCTGGTTGTTGCTGGACACCACCATATCCAGGGACACAATCTCCATAGCCAAGAAAGCACAGCAGAAAATGTCCTCTTAAGCTTAAGAAATTTAACCTGCCGCATAGCCTGATGATCCAGTTCTATGCTGTGATCATCAAGTCCATCCTTACATTATCCATTTGGCTCCTCCGCCTCCCATAAACAAGCCAAACTCCAGCGCATAATCAGGACAGTGGAGAGGATCATCGGATGTAGCCAAAATAACAGCTGACCCCTCTTGTCTTGGACATTACCTCTTCCAACCACTTCCTTCTGGTAGAAGATTCAGTGTCATAAAAACCAGCACAACCAGACATGCTAACAGCTTTTCCCCCAGAGCTGTAGTGCTCATTAACTGCAGGGGGCACCTCACATTTTAAACTTAAACAAAACCAAACAAACCTTCTTACTGTATTACAGGAACTCCTCTGTAACGCAATGCTTATTTGCACAATGTGCAGATGTTAAATTTTTGCAAGTATTCATATCATTCTCTGATATTCTCTATATAATAGTTCTTATAGCATGTGTCTACACAGACATGCATATTTATAGATATTCATACCTCACTTTAGATCCTCTTCATGGCTCTTTATTATTCCTTACCTTTATTCTGTTTATTGTATGTTTATTTTAATTTTTCCTTAGTTAATACTTGTCATTATGTTACATACATACATGTGTGCACTCCCCATGTGTGGCATACTTGGTGAAATAAAGTGATTCTGAATCTGATTCTGATTTAGATAGTGTTATTGTTTTTACAGTTTGACATTTAAATGTTCAATCAGATCAATCAGTTGTAGATAGCCAATCTGAGACCTGCCGAAAATGTTCTCATTAACCTGACCCCTGCAGGCAGCTGCAAAAAGGTGTGGGAGGAGGTCAGCTTCTTAGACGAAGTGCAGGATTTGAGGAGGGGAATTGAGGGACTAATGAGACATGGAGCTGGCAGTATTGTCCTCCTACAAAGCGCCCCACACCCTCCCCTCCTTCACCATTTGATCCTCTATTTTTCAGGCCTCCACCTCCACTGTCTCTTTCGGTCTCTCTGTTCTTGAAAATTCATTGTGGGGGAGAAGATCAATGGGGGGAGAGGAGGAAGAGCAGGGAGGTACAGGGAGGCCGGGGTTATGGAAGAGGGTTAATGGGGGGCAGGGAAGCCCACCCGGCTGCTTCAGTGCTGCTTTGTTTTGCTAAAGCGAGTTAGGCCGAGTAGCCAGGGCTTCTGCTTTGTTTTGCTAAAGCGAGTTAGGCCGAGTAGCCAGGGCTTCTGCTGATCCCAGTGCAGTCTCTCAGAATATGACAGGGGCTTTACTTTGCAGAAATACAGCTGAGTCTGGTGCTTTGCAGACCTGGAAGCTTATATTACAGCCCAGTGTTGGGTTCTCAAAGCTTCCATCATAAGGTACACTTTGTGCTATCTGTAAGATCATATTCTAGGTACTTTTGGATATTTTGTGTTTTATTAGATTTCTGTTGAGTTTCCTTATGTTATATATATATATAGCATAATATATATTAAGAAATCTTGTTACTTCAACTTAGAATCATCTTTATTATTTTTTCATGTTTGAACATCTTCTAATTTATGTGTTTGATTAACCTCAGTGGTTTTGACACTTTGTATCAAAGTGTCAAAGTGATTATGTTGTATTCTTACCTAAACACATAAATGAAAAGTTTTAAATTTGTTATTTCCACCTCAAACCAGTTTTGTGCAAGAGAACTTTATTACTGTCATTCAAAAAGACTGTATTATAGGTCTACAGCATACAGTACTCATATATGTAATGGTTACTGGGTGCACAACTCTGTCTTCAAAGGCCTTGTACGCTTGTAGTTTTTCATTAGTTCCTCCCACCTTCCACATACATCATTTGAAGGGGGTACAGAGTGGAGGTGGTTTAGTCTCTAAACTGGAATAATCCCACTCTGTGGCACATCTGTATTAGGCAAGTAGGCATGTTTACAACAGATGTAGTAATAGTTTAATGTTTCATTTTGTCCAAAGTGTCCCTTTAACTGTGATTTCATGAACTGCTTGAAATGAAATGACTCTGTCAAACCATGGATGTGCATTGCAGAGATGTAGAGCCTGGTGAGACATACACCTATCACGTGCTGACTGTGTCCAAGACAGCAGAAAGTGAGCCATCTCCTCCTCTCATACATCAGCTGGGCTCACCCTACTGTGGCGATGGACTCATCCAAAAGTAAGACATACTACTCTCATGGCTTTCAAAGAACAGCTGTTGCAGGGAATGTATATTTTCTATTACTATAGCCATTAATGCTGATGTGGTAAGCTAAATATTTGGTCATGTAAAATGGTAACGCTTTTCTGCTCTGCATATATTGACTTTAAAAAGTCAAATAAACTTGATGTGTATATTTCAGGTATCTGGGAGAGCAGTGTGATGACAAGAACTTTGCCAATGGAGATGGTTGCTCCAGCCAGTGCAAAAAAGAGCCTTTGTTTAACTGTGTTGGTATGTTCTACTTACATTTTGTTCTGTAACTTGTTTGAAAACCACTAGGGCTGGGACTATAAGCAATTTTAAAAAATTGATAATTGAACGCAAAAATAGTCACGGAATCTATACATATATATTTTCAATATTTAAAGCCACTGATATATTACAGTAGCATTCAGTATATCTCTGAAGATTTCCATTTTGTGCCAGAGGGAGGCTACAAAGTTTGAGGCATTTTCACCAAGTCTTACAGTTTTACAGACCACAAAAAAACACACCAAAACAAAATGTGCCAGATTTAACACACATGCCACATTTTATGTCCTCTTGTAAATTGTTTGCGCGTTTTGTAGCAAAGCAAAACACAGAGACACAGCACTGCAGTTGGTTATAAACATTTTAGCAGAATGGGCTGTTACCCGATGTCTATGACCTTGAGTGACTAGCTAAAAGCAAAGTGATAGCTTCAGTGTTGTTATTGCTTGATCAGTCTATTTCTTCAATCCTGCAAGTAGTTAATAAAAAGTTAGAGCAAATGGTTCTGTGCATTAAAATTGTATTCACTATTTTCACCCATACAAGTTGTCTTGGTGAGCAAAAACCTCATTACGACTAAACATTATATAAATATAAATAAAAAATACTGTTTCTGATGCTGTTTTTCCCAGATAGCCCCTTGCCAGTGCGACAGTCACTCACAGTCACAGGACAACTCACTACTGCGTGTGCTGGAGTTTCAGATCACAGACCGGAGTGCAGAACTCACGTGCATGCAAATTGAAAGAAAAAAGATATGTGTTATTGATAATTATCACTATATCGATTGGTGGTCCCAGCCCTAAAACCCCTAGTTTTGTTAATCCTAAGTAGCTGTTCATCTTATCATTTTGTCATTTTGGTTGATATATTTCCTCAGTGGTCTTTTAGTCTTTCAGTGGTCTTTCATTGTCTTCCCAAACATACTTTTAGTTTTCTCCCAGCTAACAACACAATGACTTCAAAAAACATCTCTGCACCAGAAGGTATCAAAGTCCTATTGTGCTCTTCAACGCATGCTTAGTCAGACTGGGTTTTTTTTGTAGGATTGTGATGCTAATATCGCTAACTTAATTGCTGAATGTTAGTGATTGGGCCCTCTAACTGACATGATGTGAAATCTCTTCACAAAGACCTCTCAGTCCAGAGTACTAGCTACTGTCACTCCACAAAGACTTCTGTCTAATCCCATTGCAGTATGCTTTATGCTAGTGAATTACTAGAAATTCTAAGGAATTCTAAGACATAGGGTGAGCAGACTTTTTGTGAGTCTTTTTTTCTACTAGCTTTGTTAGTGTTTCATTCATCATTTTTTAGCCTGGAACATGTGAATGGGACACAGTGGTGGAAGTGGAGAGAAAATAGAGTGCAAACAGAAGGAGGGTGGTTAAAGAATCCTTTGAAGTTTTCCCTTGAATGTAGCTAGCTGAAGGAATGACCCGAGACACCTGTAGAAGCGTGCTCTCTGAAGTTGCTCGGATGTCACAGCTTAATTAGCAGCTCATCTTGGTGAAAAGACCATCGAACTCCTTGTTTTTAAGACGTTCAATGAGTTTGTCCTTCACATACAGTGAAATTCAGTGAACTCTGTTCTTTCCTAAAGAAAATCCAGTGTCAGCATTTTACTAGTACTTCACATCCCTATACTAGTTAACCGTGGATATTGTTTTTTCTTTTCTGATGCATCAGAACAGATGGAGCTAGCATTTTAGCTAGTCTTGCAAAAGGAAACTCACGCCTCAATAAGGTCACCCTGTGTGTAAAATGGACCTGGGTAGGCCTTTCCCTAATGGTCCCCATCTCTCTTCCACACATGACCCCATGTCTATCCTGTTCTTCTGACAGAAGTGCTGAACCATGGTTTGACTGATGGCTCTCTATCTCTGGGGAACAGTTAGTAGAAGATGCCTGCCACTTCAACAGGATCCAGGCCATTGTGTCCCCCATTTTTATCCATTTTCTTCCATATCCTGCTACTTCAGCAGCTTTCTAAGGAAAGGTCATATATCTTTGATTAAAAGTGCTTTGAATAATTTAGAGATGATCCTTAACAGATGGAGGTAGCTGTACTAGTATTACAAGATTCCGCTGTAACCAAAGAACTGTCCAAAAACACTTTATGACATGACTTCATGTTTCCGCTCTTTATCCGCTGCTACTTTCCAAGTGGTAAAATTTTTGACTTGAAGAAAATGCCTCAGCTTTATCACATCATGGTGTTTTTGTCTGACTCACAGTCATATTGAACCAGCACCAACACAAACTTCGCAGGGAATACAAGTATTTTGGAGCCCAACCTCGGGTGCTTGAAATTTCCAGCGCTGTTTTTCGATGTGTCACCCGCCAAGCACGTGGAAACACGGCATTAATGAAATGAGTGCTTTTTTAGCATGGAAATGGCAATGGGGTGCTATTTGAATTCCAATGTCCTGCACGCATTGTGGCTTCCTTTGGATGATTTACACCAGCCTGCTATGGGCTTGAAGATACTGCTTGTTTTCCCTGCCATCCTTCTCGCTTACATAGTGCACAGCTCTGCCAGGGAAGGGGTGCACACCGACTGATAAGTGGATATCCTGCAAACGTGTTTCCTGGCCGGCTGTTTGGTTCAGTGGCACCCTGTGGCTCTTGACCATCAGTTGGGTAAACCCAGAGCAGGTGACAGGGCTTCACTGGGTCTCCAAACGCCTACCTGCAGCCCTAAGAGCTGACCGAGTGTCAGTTGCACACGTCTACAGATTCCTAACACTTCAAGGTTCAGGAACGCACTGGAACAGGGCATATCACTGTTCCAAACTAGACTCCCCCATTCCACCTGACATTCCAAAATTCCAGTAAGGTTTATTGCAAGGCCGACTTTTGACCTGCATGTATATGGGCATGTTCTGTTGTACTGCCTATCAAAATACAGGGATACCATTAGGGGTGTATAATGATACTGGAATCACGTTGGTATTAACAGTTAGTTACTTAAAAAAATAATTATTATCAGACTGATGCTTAGATTTGACTGATATTTCAAATCAATATTTGATGACAAATATATTGTTCTAAAGCATTTTATTCCACTTATTGCATTTGAAATCCAATAGACATAAATATTACATTTCTCCATAATGCTAATTGAGGTGGCTGTAGTCCCAATTTTTACAATTTACGAATGTTTATGTATTTGAAGTGGCATCAGTAGACATGTACATGAAAAATATCAGATGTTAGCATCAGCCTGTAATTATCATATTGGTGCATCCCTGCCAAAAATAACTGGTAGGACATGAACAACATTAAATACAGGAGTCTTTTTACTTTATTCAGTTATTACATGGCATTTAGCAGATGTTCCAGAGTGACTTACAGAACTGCTTTGTTGTCCGCTTTGAAAATTTGAGTTAGAAATTGAAAAATGGTCACACATACAGGATAGAATTTGAAATATTTCTCTAGCCCAATTATTTGGACTTGGGAAATAAATCACAAAAGCATCCAGGGAAGTACAGATTGGTGCCGCCAAAAGAATTTAATTGCTTTGGACAAAAATATGATTGTGTACAATATGTTATATTTAACACATTCTGAGTATAAAAATAGAGTTTTAGGAATAAACAGGTGTAGGTTAACATCTTACTATATTAGCGTCTAGGCACAGTATGGAAAGTTTATCCGGACTAACAAATGTTTAAGATTTTGTTTGGAAGTGCTGCCTGATGAGTGAATTTGTTGAAGCATGATTTAAACTTAATTTTGGACAGGTGATTATTTTATTCCAGTATATTGTTTTATATTTTATTTTTCAGGGATCTAATGACTGCTAATATTGTCACTACATGGTGAATGGTGCTATCCTGTCTGGTTCTGTTCAGCACTTTGGGTGATGATATACCAGTTTGGGACAGTTTAGACAAAATTTTGTTGTACCCTGAATGTGACTCTCGGACTTAGAACTTGATAATGTAGTTTAGGTTGAGTCAGGTTTGGACAAAACTTTTTCGATCAGGTCAGACTCGGACAAAATGTTCTTTGTCTGTATTCAGGTTTGAACCAAAATTTCAAGCCTGATTAAAGTTATAATACAGGTCCTTGGGTTTTAAGGGAGTTTAACCCCTTAAAATGGCTGGAACCCACCAGTGGGTCCAAAGTGTTAGTACACACTTCTACAGCCTAAGAATAACTACACAGTTACTGAATAATAAGCCTTAATATGTAGTAAGCCTGGGATTATAAGGGGTTAATTAAAAATCGACCAAAACGTCATTTATACCCCACAGGTTGTTCTATATCACACTAATACACATTGGCTTGACAACGCTGTCTTTCTAGTGTATTTACTGTGTCTCTCACTCTTGTACAGATGAGCCCAGTCTGTGCTATTTCTATGATGGTGACGGTGTGTGTGAGGACTTTGAGCGGGAGACAAGTGTGAGGGACTGTGGACTCTACACTCCCAGCGGTTTCCTGGACCAGTGGGCCACAGGGGTGGAGGTTTCCACTGAGGACAGGGTGCATTGTCCTTCTGAAGTGGCTGCTGGGTATCCTGCTGTGACAAAGGTGGGAACGTCATGCAAACACATACAAACACTCATAAACTTTGCACATTGCACACTTTTATCTGCTACGTGGTTCTTCAGTATCCGAGGTCAATGTCTTTTTATGTTGCAGAAATTAAAGCTGATGATGGAACACTGATATTTACAGTTATTTTTGTGAGACTGATCTATCCATGCTTTGCCCACAAACTAATTTTTATTGTAACTGTTTCCAGCACCGAGGGCATCTTTGGGCCCTTGAAGTGTCTTAATTTGCCTGAAATTGACAAATTAAAGACCTTAATAAACATTAAAATGTCTTAAATTCAAATTGAAGTGGTCTTGGAATTTAGGACACAGGTGGATGTTATTTGTTTTGTTTTTTTTGACATCCCATCACACACGTCTACATGGGCTTGAAATTGAAGCCTAAACCCGACCCACACCTGCAACTTTCAGCAGCTGCAACTACGACGTTCAGCCCAACCAGGCATTTCTGATACAACTAAATTTGAAACCTGTACCCGAGCCGAACCTGATCACATGCACTAACAGATAATTGCAGACACGGTTGTTGCTTTGTTTCTAAGCACTTGAGTTGATTGACAGAAAATGTCATGCTGGAATAAACTGGTATTTTGCACATCTGTACTTCACTAACATGAAACATTATTTATTATCATTATATTTTTGTGGAATATTTTTCATACTTGGTAGACAGAAGATGTAAATTCAGGTTCAGAAGGTGAAAATCCTCCCAAAGATCTTGTTCCAACAGCTTGAACACCTATGCTGATCATGTGAGCTAACTACAGAAGCCAGGCAGTTGCAATGATATCTTGGGGAGGATTTTTACTTTCTGGACCTGAATTTACCACCTGTGCTGGCAGAGAAGAGCATCCATTCACCTCTGATCAGCTGTTACCCCACTGTGCTTAGTTCCTCTCGCTAAGTAAAGAAATGCCTAATACAGTGTTGGAGAAAGATCCACTATGACCTTTTCTCCAACCCAACTCATCCCTCTCATAATCCATTTTGGGGTACATTTACCCACTCCTCAAACTCTGGTGCTATTCAGTACACAGATAGAAACTATAACATTACTAGAAAGAGAGCAAGATAAAAAATGCATGAAAGTGTGGAACATTCACACAGGCACATTTTTTTAAATAAAAACAAAACTACTATTTAAAACTGAATCATTTTAAAACAAACCCGAGCACAGTGTTGTACATACGAAAAATCGACCTGAGCCTCATGGAACTGGCTTATGACTGACTGAGTGACTGATTGACTGACTCACCCACTCATTCACTCACTCACATTTAGCAGGCAAAAGATTGTCCAAAAGTTAGCAGTTAGCAGTCAAATAATCTTAGATGCTTCACAAGAGCACAAGAGTAGATGCTTCTCATCAATGACACTGTGTGTCTTTGTTATATTTGCTCTTAAATTACATTTGAAGTTTCATTAAAATATCTTAGAAAATACTAAATATAACAGAAGGGTGCCTGCAAATATCCTGCATTGGACAAGCCTTTGGCTAAAATTCTATTTTAACTTAATGGAAATTGTAGTGCACAACACCTTTTTTATTCAAAATACCTAAATTTAGAGAGCTCACACTTACAATTGATTTGGTATATTTATATGTGCGTAATTGAGCTTGCATTGGCATGGTGGTAAATTTGTCTTTGTCAGTTACAACCTGAGTAATTTCAGTTAGCTACAACGCAATAGCACAGTGTTTGAAACTAGAAGCACATTATGTAGCAGCTCTAAACAACCTTTTTAGTGGTCCAGTGTGAATGATCATTTATGTATTTTGCCCAAAACATGAGTTGTCACCAAAAGTCCAAGTACACATCATGCGAACCTGCAAAGGTTTCTGTCAAACAAGCACTGATTGACTACCTGGTGTTGTTGGAGGAAGGCAGGACGAGACTCGAACAAGTATTTATCTTTGAAGAGAGAGAGAGTAAAAACACAAGACTTCCCTTTTTCGCTTTCTGTGCATTCTGGCTTAGAAGCAGCCCCCTAGTGTACATATTCATGTTACGTACATGCGGACATCTGCATATGACGCCTGCACATGTTTGCATTTACCCAGAAGTATAATTTGGCCTTCAATCAACATGTTAGGTCTCATTGTCCTTGACAATTAACCCAGCTAAGGTTATGCATAATAACCTACTTCTGCAGACCCTGACCACTGATTTCTGTTTAGCACATTCTGTTGAAGAGACTTATGAGAGACCTTCACACAGTAGACCTGTAAAACACTGCCTTTTTCCCAGAGACACTTAAAAAAGCAAGTTTGTTTTACTCCCTAGATATTTCAATATGAAATATTTATAATTTTACACATTTCTTGGCCACATCTCCACCTCCTCTCCTCTCTTTTATGCTGTTTGCAGAACGAACGGCCCTGCACCCAAAATCGTCTACTCTCTCAAATTAATCATGTCAGGAAACTATTCCCATCATGCTTTGCACAACCTTAGGATTTATAGCTCTGAGCCAAACAGCCATTTTTCACTGTGGAGATTTGAACCTCATCGTTCCTCAGAAATATATTTTGTGGATTTTCATCCAAAAATGTGTTTAGCTTGTACAGTAGGTATATAACCTTTAGTGGTTCTTTAATATATGAATCGAATAACATTGCAAATATTACAAATATGTAAGTATTTATCACTTTAGCCGATAACAACCTATCAGCGCAAAAAGTATAAATATTATGAAATTGATCTAAACATGAAATGACACATGGTTTCCGGATTCCCTTACCTAAGCTGCAATCAAGCATTTCAGAACAACTACGGACTCCCGTCTACTAAAGTTCTAAACCACTTTTGAAAAGGCTTCAGTTGCCATCCATAGATTCATAAACAAAGGACTAAATGTTGGAAGCAACAATCAGTGGCAACAAAGTGCCAGTTTGCTTGGATTTGCATTGATTGTAGACAGTGGTATCAAAACCTCAAATATTTTGGCTTGCAGTGAACTAGAATAGTCGAATTTGAAAAATGAGGCATCTTAAAGGCGTAGGCTTTGAGAATCAATGGGAATATTCCAGAAAATGAATGGAAACAGAAATGGCTTGACGAATGCCTGCTTGTGGTTTTAAGTGGAGCAGGCTTTAGCTTGTGATTGATGCTGGAGTTCTATCAGGATGAGTAATCATATATAGGGTGTTATTGTGTGCTGCAGCAGCATCTAGAGTTGCAGTGCTGAGTGTAAGGCAGAGGAGTCCATGAATCGATGTGAGGATGGGTGAGTGGCGGTCACAGGGGCTACTACTCTGCGTTTTACTAAAGAAGAGGAGCTCCACAGAGGATAGAAGTGTAGCTCTCAGTGGGACATGTGCAGAACTTTCTCATTCTCTCATTATCTCTCTCTCTCTCTCTGTGTCTCTCTAGCATTACATCAGAATTTTACTGTGCATGTGGTTAATTCTGCAACCATTTTATTCAAATTTTATGAGGTATCTAGAGGTGAAAAAAGACCTTCTTTGCTCCCTCAGGCATTAGTTCTTTTTAACTTCTTTCTGACCCCACAAATGCCAGCTCTATTTTGTGAGATGGAAGTAAAATATGGTGTAAAAATGATTTAGGGTTTTAATATAAAAAGTACCGTTCTGCAGAAGTCAGAAAGCACCCTTCATTTATTTAACTTCCTGTCAAAAAAGCCATTAAGTACAAGTCATTCCTTTTTTCTGAGATATATCTGAGCAAATTAGTTATAAAATGATCCACTTGCATAAAGAAGGAGAAGGTCAAAGGAAAATAAGTGGAAAAAAAGCAGTTTCCAAAATTGGAGTTCAACAAATGATTAAAAGATACAGAGAAAATAGCTCTTAACAACACAGCAAAACCTGGTAGACCACCAAAACTGTCACCATCACATGAACAGTACTAATCTTTTAAAGTTCCACGCTTGATGTAGAGGTGAAAAATCCACACATTTTGTCCATCCTTCCATTGTGAGAAGACAACTTACTGCTAAGAGTGTGAAAGGTTGTGGAGCTGTCAAAAAGCCATTAGTGAGAAACAAGAATAGACAAAAAAGAAGATCAAACAAAGAAGCTGCTGGTGTACAGTGTGCTCGTGACTCTAGACCTCAACATCATTGAATGGGTGATTACTTGATTGTGAGAAGCAGAAAATACAACCAACTTCTAAGACTGAACTTTGGAGGTGTGGAAAAATATTTCTTTGAAAAACATCTTCTGCAAATAATGAAAGTTGTAAAAAAGGCAAAAGAATGAATGCCCTCAGTTCTGACAGTGGAGTATTATGTAGTTGCTGAGGCTTTTTTGTCATTTTCTGTTGAAATGTACATTTCTGTTTTTTTTTCCTCACACTTTAAAATGATTAACTCACACTTAAAGGACATTTTAACTGTAAATGAAATAAATGAAGTGTTGTCTCTGATTTTCGCACAGTACTGTGAGTAACTTCCTAAAAATTTCAGATAATAATTTAACAGAATGTATTACACATTATTATTCTGTTAACTTACTATTTAATGTTAAATTAACTAAAAAAAAAAGGTTACTTACCTTAAGTTACAATAACAGCAAACACGTAAAATACAGATTGTTAACTTGAGCTGAAACAAAACTTAAATACTTCTATAATATTTATAGGCACACACAAAAAACTCTTAATAAAGTTCTGTTGGTTTAAAAAAATTTGAACACTTCTAAGTTGTTACTGTTTCATTTCATACCTGTGTTATTGACATCATACAGTATGTTGTAATATCAAAATTTATTTCTGTGTAGTTTAGTTCTTCGGTGGGATGAATACTACCTCCATAGTGTGTCATGCTATTGCATTTAGTGATTGGCTTATGAGTTCAGTATGCTTACGAACCGTAGAGCTGGAACTGAGAGACAAATGTGTGTGTGCGGGGGAAACGGGCAGTGTAAAGGCCAGACAGTCACTTACCAGCATGACTCTATTGCTGATGGGGCAGAAGCTCTCTGCTATAAACTACTCCAAAAATACTGGGGACATCCATTGTGCAGAGACAGCAGACAAGCCGACCGTTCCTGCTGCTGTCCTGGAGCGCTCATGAGCTCCTGTTACACGCACACACATACACTCTCACACATACTACGCATAATTAGTGCCATTGACGGTCTCAGGCACCAGGCGGCTCTCCAGTGTCACCTAGCGTCGCAGCACCGTCACCCCACACTCGGGTTCAGGGGGTTCAAAACGAGAGTGGTCTGCAAGCTTATATGGTAATCGGCATGCTGCTTGCAATTGTCATTGGAATTGAATAAGTCAGAGTGACTGGATCTTTTTAGGGCTGCAGCTTCGTGTTTATTGAGTCCAACTTGTATGGTCTATGCAATTTGGACATCCAAGTATTTATTCAAAATCTTTGGCTTTAAAGCCCACCACAAGTATTTAGGGGGACTTAGTTGGATTACCGCTCAACATTGCTTAATGGTACCCTATCTCAAACAGATACTTGGAGACATTTGAATAAATTCCTTTTTTGTGATCTAGTTCTTGTGACATGATTCCTAGATCAGCACTCTTAATCAGAGATGTTGGATACATAAAGCCCCTGGGGTCCGCCTCTCCGTCCTCTCAGTTTTGCTACCTTTCTTTATGATCTGGAGCAGCAGTCTGACCTTGCCAGGGTTCAGCTTAATTGTGAGCCTCCAGATGGTCTAAATTACATTTTGATAGGGAAATGCAGACTGGCTGACCTCCATCATTACTGACGTTCAGTGTGCACTCCTTCAGGTACTGTGTTTATAATTCACTTTGAGCATGTAGTAGAAAATTGGAATTTTTTTTTTTCTGTTGCTTGTTGAGGTTGTTTAATTAAACCCAGAAGTTAGCACTGGACTGGTTTTAGGCTGCTGATCAAGCTCCATACCTTCACTACATCCCAGCAAAAGCCTAAATTCCTTCAGAATCTTTATTCCGCAATTTAAAGTTACTAGTTGTGTAATGATTTACAGAATTTATAGTTCGATTCAATATGATACAGTTGGATTTGATACATTTTTTAACACAGCATAAAAAAGGAGTGGCTGAAATGTGCCGTTGGTTTTATGTTAATGTATCCCAATCTAATGCTCTAGCCACAAGCTAACATGCTAATCATGATACAATGATACATTTTGATACTTTCAATGAGATTACATAATGTTTTGTAGATTATGCAAGATTAGATAAAAATTACACATTGCTCATTATGCATTCAATCACTTACACAAGAACATGAAAAAATACATTGCTGTTTCGTTGTAAGTGTATTTGTTGGCAGAGATCCATTGTGAGCAGGAAAATCATTCAAAAATGATTGCTCATAAGCAGAAACTGCTAACGGTTACTATTCTTCTCGGAAGGAAGCTTAAAAGACATGGCTCGTTGTGAGCTGTTCCTATAGATCTTTAGAGCGGACTGTATAGTTCTGGATGAGAGCTGACAGAAGCAGTTTATCCTCAGTCTTGCTCAACGTAGACTGAAGCCCCAGCTAAGACAGTAGGACCAATAGGAGGGCTGATGCATGTTTACGTCAGAGTACTTTGTGTCAATAGTTAATTTCTGGTGAACTTTTTCAAGATGGACAAAATATGTTACCCATCAACATTGTTATCATTAAAATCAGTGCGAAGAGGGATGTTTTTGATGGATACCATAATGTTCTTGTTATTCCAGCCTTATGCAGGATGTTCTGATGCTGTATGTGTGTCTGTGTCCTCACAGAGCTGCCAGTCGAAGGTGTTTGACCTGTCTGACGGAGTATCTCAGTATGCCTGGTTTCCATGTGAAGAGGCACAGCTGCACAGCAGGGTCCACCATTACTGGCTAAAGGTAAGAAGAGACATCAAGTTAAGTCACAGACACTGCATTTGCATTTGGTAGATGCTCTTAACTATGGAAGCATATCATTATCAAAATGAAAATGAAAATGTAATATGTAAAATAGCAGTGTGTTTGTATGTTTGCATGTTTTCCACGCATATATGCAATATTGAGCTCAAAAAGAACATTTTCATTCAATACTATGATATTAATTTGCCATTTGGTATACTAATATTGACATTTTATTTACATAAAGGTTTACAAGTACCTTTATTTAAAATAAAATGTATTTTTAGGAACTGAATTCTCACCTACTGCACTCATTCTGTAGCAAAATGCCTGTAAAATGTACATAATACATTTTCATTTTGTTTGGTTGATATATATTTGTAAATGCTTACGTTTTTTAAAAATAATTTTAGTACAAAGTAGATTTCAGCACAGTTCATAACTCTGATTACAAATCACACAAAGTAAATCATTTGGCATTGCCATTTAAAAAATAAAAAATGGAGGTTCTTTGTGCTCCTCATTTAAAAAATGGTTCTTTAAAAATCACACATTGAAATTATTTCTGAACTTTTTTGGTTTAGGTTCTAAAGTTTTCCTTTGTTTATTTTAACAGCTAAGTAGTCTAATTTATCTCCCTCAGGCATACTATTCCCACCCCATGGTGGCTGCTGCAGTTATTATTCACCTTGCTGCTGATGGAACTGCCTACAGTGACCAGACCCAGGCCAATGTGACTGTTCATCTGGTGGACACCAAGGAGCAGATCCACAACCTTGGTTTGTCTAGTTTCATTCCATATGTTTCCTACAGACATTTACATGTGTATATTTGCTGAATGGCTATACAATGTGAGTTAAGCTTAGGAACATTAAATGGTAGCAACCCAGGTAATAAGTAGCTCTCCTCCACTATTTCTATTGTGTAATACATTTTTTGAGGTTTTAGAGAAAACATGCATGAAATGACAGTCAACAAACATCCATTTCTATTATGAAACAGCAGCTTAAGCGCTATTGTTTGGTTACTCCACCTATTTCCACTTTGGTGTGCCATTAATTTCTTACCATGTAGTAGTCACTACTCTGTGGAAAGATTGACAGTGCACTGATGGGATGCTTTTCAGGCGAATGGCGGTTGAGTTGCCGGAATAATCCTCTGGTGATCCCCGTGAGTCACGACCTGAGCATGGCCTTTTACAGAACCAAGGCCATTGTGGTTAGCTTCCGCTCGGCTTTGGTGGCTATCTCAGGTGTGGGTCTGCGCTCCTTCCAGTACTTTGACCCAATCACGATCAGTGGCTGCCAGAGCAATGAAATCTACAACCCCATGGGCCAAAGGTGAGATTTTTACCTCAACTGGAAAACACAGTTAGCTTGGACCAAAGGTGTTTACATTGGTGCTGTGTGAAAAAGGTAGGGATAAGAAATCTCTAAAAAAAATAAATTCACCTGCACATACACTGTAAATCCAAATGTTTACAATTTAAACACTTTTCTCTAATACTTTTAAAAGTAATTCAGTATTCAGTTGAGCCTTTCTCCTCATTGACAGCGTATTAGGGAAAGCTTCACTGCATCAAATGAACACCAGGGTTTAAAATCTAAATGGCTTGTGATTATTTTTGAAAATATGTGTTTACTCCTTTAACGCTCATGTTTATCTGATGTTGCAGTCAAGCTTTACTCTAAACTCTGTGATGTGTTTAAAGAGTGATATAGAAAACATTTAAACGTCTAGTGTTACAGTGGAACAGTGCAGAGTCTCAAAAAAGAGTGTACTAATTTAATCTAAAACAGTTTAAAATCACTGATTTCAACCAGTGTTGCTGAACATACATGTTGGTTCTATTATGGTGCTGCTACTCTATAACTTTATAGGTTTCAGATAATTTGTAGAAGACAGCTGTAGATAGCTCCATAATAACTGAGAAAGCTGTAGAACATTGAAAATTCAAAAATGTTCAAATGAAGTTTACATCCAGAATGTCTTGTACTCGAAAAACATGCAGGGCTGTGGAAAAGTATTTGCCCCTCACCCAGTTTTTTTGCCCCGACCCAATTTTTTGCTAATATGTCACATTTTAATGTTTCAGATCATCCAACTAATTTTATTAAAATATAAAGACAACACGAGTAAACACAAAATGCAGCTTTTAAATCATTATTCTGTTTATTCAAGATAAAAATTTGATCTGTCACTCATGTGAAAATGTAATTGCCCCCGTAAACTTAATAAGTAGTTGTACCACTCTTGACGGTAACAGCTGCAATCAAATGTTTGCGAAAATTTGCAATGAGTTTTTTACATTGCTGTGGAGTAATGTTGGCCCCCTTTTCTTTGCAGAACTGTTTTAACTTGGCTACATTGGAGGTCTTCCCACAGTATCTCAATAGCATTCAAGTTAGGACTTTGACTCAGTCACTCCACAACCTTAATGTTGTTTCTTTTGAGCCATTCAGAGGTGGACTTGCTTGTGTGCTTCGGATCATTGTCCTGCTGCATAACCCAACTGTGCTGGAGCTTTAGGTCACATACTGACTGGCGGACATTCCTCTTCAGTATTTTCTGATAGAGAACAGAGTTAATGGCTCCATCAGTTATGACAAGTTGTCCAGGTCCTGCAGAAGCAAAGCAGCCCCAGACCATCACACTGCCACCACTGTGTTTGACTGCTGGTATGATGTTCTTATGGTAGAATTCAGTGTTAGCTTTATTCCAGATGTAATGGGACTCATGTCTTCCAAAAAGTTCCACCTTTGGCTCATCAGTCCACAGAATATTATCCCAAAAGTCTTGGGGGTAATTGGGTGCCATTTTTGCCCAGTGTCTTTCTTATTTTGGAATCGTGTACATGGACCTTAATTGAGGCAAGTGACTTGCAGTTCTTTAGATGTTTATGTGGGTTCTTTTGTGTCCTCCTGGATGAGTTGTCAATGCGCTCTTGGTGAAATTTTGGTATGCCAGCCACTCCTGGGAAGGTTCATCACTGTTTCAAGTTTTCTCTATTTGTGGATAATGGCTCTCACTGTGGTTCGCTGGAGTCCCAGAGCCTTAGCAATGGCTTTGTACCCCTTTCCAGACTGGTAGATTTTAATGACTTTGTTTTGCTTTTGTTTAGAACGTGGCATCATGTGCTGCTTTTTGAGTCCTTCTAGCCTGCTTTACATTGCCAGATAAACAGGTTCTGTTTAAGTGATGTTCACATTCAACAGGTCTGAATGAAATAGCTATTTGAATTTGATTAACTGATTGATTTAGTAGCTAAAGGAACAGTTACTTCTTCACATAGGGCCAGGTATGGCTGAACAGAATCTTTCCTTTAATAAATGAAACCATAAATCATAAAAAATGGATTTTGTGTTTACTTTGTTTGTCTTTTTCTAATACTAACAGTATTCTGATGATCTGAAACATGCAAGTGTGATGTGTGCAAAAATAGAAGAAATTGGGAAGGGGGCAAATACTTTTTCCACTGCACTGAAGATCAAATCTTGAGGCAGATAATGTATGAAATAAATTACTATAAATAGACAATTACAGTATATTATATGATCATTTAATAGCTTCTTGATGTTCCCAAAAACATTGTATATGTTAAACACCTTAAAAAATACTTTCTATTGTCCAGCCTATAGCATTTCAGTCTACGCTGTTTGAGGCCTGGGTCATCCTTACCTGTTGTTTAGTGCCCCTGGCCACAGCATTTCCTTTTTTAAACCTATAAAAAAGTAGATCCTGTGAGCCAAGTGGCAACTTGACTTTTTTTTTTTAAACAAACCTCCAGAACAGTTGAATTTTAACACATTCACAAATTTCCATGATTAACTACTTTTCACCCCCCCGTGCAAGATACAGAACCTGTTTAGTCAGACACAGAACTAATTGCATCAAATCAGATTTTGTCATATTGTCACAAATGCTTGTTAAAAAGTAAATACAATGTATATGATTATTCTTATATGAGATTCTAATTAGTTCAAGCTGTGGTAAAGAACCCAAACAAACAAAGAAAACAATTAAGTATTCAGACTTAGACATTTCTGTCTATATGTTTTTTGATAGTACCAAGTTTTTATATCTGGTTTAAGTTATTATTGAATAAAATAACAGCAGTTAATAACATTACAAACTTTTGAACAGTAGTATACATAATCATGTTGTGGTTGTTAGATGAGGTCAGATTCACCTCTGCTAATGCTGATGTTAATGCTTTTCCTCTCAGTTGTGTGCATTACTCGTGTGATGCCATTGACTGCCAGAAGCCTCTAGTGCATAACGCAGAGATGAGATGCAGTAGTCCAGGCTACTTCAACGGCGTCCGCTGCACCATCACCTGCAACCGCGGATACACCCTCAAAATCCACAGAGACGATGACATCATCAAAACACAGGTGCTGCTCTCTCTTGTGCCCCATAGTGTTTTATCACCAGGTGGAATGTGTGTATGTTGCTTTGCCCCAAATGTTTCCAAAATATATTTCAGCTAGATTTCATACAGCAGCACACACACACAAACACACACACACACACAACATGTTACACGTACGCTCCAGTAACCGTGTCCTCGCATGTGCTCTGAGCGCTTATGGAGCAAGCAGCAGTAAAGTTTTATGGCTCTCGTAGGTTGGGTGAAGCAAACTGTCAGAAAAGGATGCAGCACTCCCCACGGCTGGAGCTCGGGCTGGTGAGCTCGGAGCTGCTGCTGATTTCTCTCGAGTTTTATGTCTTTCTTCCTAAACCACTTTGTTTGAGGAGCCTGAAACCATGGGAACGAGCCATGTGGCTCAAATAAAAGCAAGACTTTCCTTTCAGGGAGCAGTGTTTGGGTGGGGGGGTTCGTACAGGATAAGCCAAAGCCACAAGAGACTTCTCATTGCATCTGCTCTCTCTCCTCTTTCCCTAATGCGTTATTGCTATAGGCTGCAAATAGACATTATAGCCTTAATAATGTACTGTAGTGGTTTGACATTGCTGTTGTAAAGCATTCCTCAGATTTGAGGAATGTGCTATATAAATTAAATGTATTATTATTATTATCATCATTATTATTATTATTATTATTATTATTATTATCCCTTTGAGTCTGATGAAGTAATTTTTTCCTGTTTAAGCTACTCTTCTCCTTTAACCCTATCAAACCTCTCACATGAAAAGCTTTTTTTCTACATGTAAATGCATTTTATTATGGACACCATGGACGTGCACACACTGTAACTCCTCTGAAGGCAAATGATTAGTCAAAGGGGACATTGCCAAAGTCTCAGAATGAATCACTGGTGAGACATTCAGTTTGATAGGGTTAATGTACTCTCTATGTTTTTCCAAAGTCCTGTCTGTTTAATATGCTGCCTCCTTGGTCTGGCCATGCACATTTGCAAGAGCCAAGATAGTAACACAGCATGTAGACAGACCTATCAGTTGATTGTTTTAGTACTAAAAGAGTTGATGCTGGGGCGATAGTGCTCCCAAAATGACAGAATCGTTGTGCTATTATTGTGAATGTCTTATCTGCTTATGGTAAAGCATGTAAGTGAATTTGCAGTCCAAGCTATATAAGTGAATTTGCAGTCCAAGCTGTATTTCTCCTTACCTAAAGTTGCAGAAAATGTTTATTTGCTAGCTCCATACAGCTTGTGGAAGACACACATTAGAATGTTCCGACATGTATGCTGTTTGTGCATGTTCTATGTAGACCAAAATGTTTACCTTTTTTATTTTGTCTTTTTACATTTGTGTTAGAAAATAGTAATAATAATAATAATAATAATAAAAATAATAATAATAGTTGTTGTTGCTAAACAATTATTTAAATGTAAATATTTAGTTATTGTAACTAAATAACAATGTACATTTGATTTACATTCCGTTTTGACAAGGTTGAGTCTGAATTTTAAGCGTTTTTTGGTGGCAGAAAATTCAGAAAATCTGGTGAACCTTTATTTGTGCAAAACAAGGCTGTATGCATGGCAACTTTCATCAAATTGTACATTGAAAAAATTGATTTAAATTGAGTATGAGGATGAGTAAACTGGTTACCTTAAAAATTTCATTTCATTGAGTTTGAAATAACAGGTTGCATTGTATTGTTTTGTTAACTTAAAATTTGAAATTAAGTCAAACTTGTATGGCAACCAGCTTACTTACTTTTTCTAAGTTCAGACATTAAATATTTTCCAGTGTAATAAATGAGAGAAAAAGATTTGATTTGCATATAATTTTAGAATATGCACTTCCAACAGAATCTCTTAGCATGTTTTAATATGCTAAGAGTAAAAAATAATTAAACAAACTGTAAGAAGAGATATATATATGCCGTGAAGGGACCTAGGCAGGTTAAGAGAAGGCTGGAGGGAAGATGCGATTTGTCTATGTGTTTTAGATCAGGAGCGTCTGGCTCTGCAGCTCTCTGAGGGCCGTGGATCAATGGCACTGCAGCGAGCACTGTTTACCCCACACCTCCACACAAAAGACCAACAGCAGCAGCCACTTTTGATAAAGCCACTTCTGTTAGTGAGCGTGCTAGCAAAACACTAGGACTATGAGCCCTTAGCACGCCATCCAGGCTTGCTCATTCACAAAAGCTGCCTGAGTCTGTTTCTGGCTGTGTATAATCAAGGAGAGCCTTCTTCTGCGGGTTTCTGCACCTGCTGTCTTGGTTCTGGCTAAAAAAAACAACACAAGCAATACAGCAAAAGCCTGTAAATAGTATAGAGAAGGAGTAGTGTAAAAACATGTTCAGTATGTTTTGCAAGAGCGAGAGCTGCACTGTATGTAGGTGTTTGGGCTGGTTGCTGCCAGAGACCGCTGTCCGCTCAGAGGTTTGGCTTCTGTACAGCAGCTATTACGCATTTGGAGAGAGGAGAGAAAAGCAGCAGACAGATTTTCTCCAGTTTTTGGGAGGCCTTGGTTTATATAACAGTGGGGCTTTGGGGGCCAGCACTGGGGGGCTGCAAGGGCCCTTACGGGGGTAGATGTCTGGTCTGGTTATGTAAGGTGAGAGAGTTTTTTATAAAGCCTGCAGCTTCTGCCACAGTAACTACACCCTTAAAATTAAGTGCCAATTAGAGATTTTGGAGTGATGCCATAAAAGAATCACTTTTGGTTACCTAAAGAACTTGGCAGCATTCAGTTCTTTAAAGAACTGTTTTTGTAAATAAAGTATATGAAGAACCTGCTTGAACACCTTTGCATAATGCAAAGGTTCTATAAATGGCCAGGATCCTTTAGAGAGTAGAAATTTCTGTTCACTTCTAACAATTTAAGGGCCCATATAATGGAAAACCAAATTTCCCTCACCTTTTTTTTTTTAAATAAAAGAGTTTGGTGTTGTATTTAACATTGTAAATCTCCAAAATATACCATTTACTTTTAGTCTACACTTTTTTAATGTGTGAAAAGACTAAGCTACAGAATTAGACTGTTTTGAATTCACTGTTTCTCTAATGTTATAAGGAGTGTTTCTGCCTGGACGGCTTTTTGAATGAGGCACAATATAGGGCAATCAGTCATTTTCATATATGATTTTAAAGGCATAGTAACTAAAACAGCCTGTTTCTTTCTAAGGCATAAAAAGCAGTTGGAAAATGGTCATGTAGAAAAAAATTATTCATGTTTTTGGTACGTAAACCCACAAAACTTTGTCAGTGAACTTCAGGGGAACTCAAAGGGTCATGGGCCTTTAAAAAATGACTTGGCCAGTTTGCATTGTTCCTGAACACTACAATAATAGGGAATAGTAAGCTTTATGATATAATAAGGTTGGGATTTTAAGGGGTTAAAGGAACCATGTCCAAGCCAATAACTACTTAGAAACCGTTATTTTTAAGAATGTACACAAAGTCTTTCCTACTGAATTTCCTACTTTGCTGCAGCACTCCCAGTTATGACAAAGCGACAACAGGGTTGACTGTGTGGAGGATCAGCTGCACAATGTTACACTTTCATGACCTCTAATGTCTTATGCGTAAGCATGGTCAGTGGGTGAAAGCCCGCCTGTTTGCTTGATATGGTTTAGCTCTGCATTTTTCGATCAGATGCCCTGTGTTTGAACTCACCTGAAGGAACTCCCTAACCCTGCCAGCAACTGCATGCAGAGAGCTGCTAAAGGAGACAGAGAGAAAGAGAGAGGGAGTGCGATGGTCTGATGGATGACGTCAATACGAGGGTGCCCGTGGGTTTGCATTGAAAGGGAAAGTGCTGATCCCAGCACAGCAATTACTGCTTATCCGCCGTCTCCAGAGAGCACTAACGTCTGCTTCTAAAAGGCGCAGTCAGTGAGAAATTAGCCATTTCACCATTAACCTCTTACTATAATGGAACTCAGGACCTTCCAAAATTCCAGAAAAAAAAGAGTTGTACTTAGAAACGGCAGCGTGAAAACACAGTTAGCGAGACATAGCGCTGTCTGCATGAGGAGGGAAGGGCTGGGACTGAGTGATTTTGTCCTGCTTGTACCGCTGGCGGTGGGGTGGCACATCACAACGAGTGCAGTGTCTTCTGTGGCCTCCACGTCCTGGCTGTGCACTGCTTGTTTTTGCCAGGGTGTTATTGAAAGCAGAGCATGTCCTGAAATCACCATTAGACAAACAACAACATTGCAGTGGGCCAGAAAGGCAAACAGAGAGTTGGAGGTTTACTTTTCTTTTTCTTCTTTGTTTTGTATGTGTGCGCATGTTTGTGTGTGTGTTTATGTGTGTGTGTGTGTGTGCATTTGCGTGTGGGTATGTCCTTTTGCATGTGCATTAGAGCATGTGCATGCATTCGTGTGCATACGTGGACTGTGTATACTCTCTATGCATGCACAGTACTGTTCAAAAATCAGAGACCACTCTTCGTTTATTTCTAGTCAAAACGGCTATTAAGTACGTAACTTACGTAAGTTATTAATTGTTTTTTTTAAGCATCAGGGAAAAAAACAGAAAACATTTTACAGAGAATTACCTAGAAGCCTAAACAACAAGATTTAAATACACCATAAATTTTTTGGGGAGGCTTGTTTTCATTTTTTCAAAGAAATCTGCAGGTATATATCTCCAAAGTTGAGTTTTAAAATTTGGTTATCTTGAACACATTCATTGATGTTGAGGTCTGGACACTGGGGTGGTCAGTCCGTTGTTCTGAGAACACCAACAGCTTCTTTGATTGCTTTGCAAATGTTTTTTTTCTCCACAACGGTTTCTTAATGGCTCACATATTTTTAGTCCCTTAGCATTTCTATTTTTCCCATCCCATTTTCTGTATATCTTTAAAAAAAAAATTTGGAAGCTTCAGGTTTTTTTCACTTTAGATTCACCAAAAAAAAGTGATTTAAAAGTGATTTGATGAACTTGAACTTGTTTTGAATGGAAATGAAGTCAATGAAGGGTGGTCTCTGATTTTTACACAGTACAGT